CAAACATTTGAGCTAGCCTGATCAAGTACCGACCATGCCGCGCCTGGGCGGCCGCGTGTTGGCGAGTAAAAATAATTGCCTAAAGCTTTAATCAAATAATGGTTCCTTACGTTTTTTTATCCAAACATTGGATTGGTGAAAAACAGTTGTAGCGATGTTATCGCAAAAGGTTGAAAGCTTGTTTCGTCGCTCACATACGTCAGACATACGTCACAGTTTCGACTGTACAAAATTTAATTAATTTTGTTTTTAATAGGGTTAGGGTTATTTTTTAGAGTTAGGGTTAGGGTTAGGGTTCGGGTTAGGGTTAGGGTTAGGGTCACAATGCACCTTAAAACAGGAGTTTGAGTCCGCATGGACGTGACGTCACTCGCTCATGAACGAGCGACGAAGCAAGCTTTCAACCTCTTGCGATGTTATCACGCCACATACATTGTGTACATGCCGTGGTGGATGTCTACCATGCTCTGATTGAGCAGTCGCGATTCAGCTTAGCCAATCACGTATGGTATTATGTAATACCAATTCGCACGCTGGCGCATCGATCGCACATGTATGCGGCGTGTGTAGGATAGTGACGGGCTGCTGCGGCTACTGACTCACCTTGATGTAAACAAATCAATAAAACCAGCGTACATAGTAGCGTATAATAACACATAGTAACACATAGTAACACATAGTAACAAATAGTAACATGTGGCGTTTCATTGATGGGGCAAAGCAACCCGAGAAGAAAAGTAAATTAAATAAAAATAAAAACACAAAGGATTACGAATAAAACAGAAAACAGCAAACAGTAACTTTAATGAAAAATGGACAGTTGGGAGGCCGTGGTTTCTGTTTCTGTTTCTGTTGTAGTACGTTGCAGTATCCAAATTTGGCATCAAGGCAACGGGCTATAGCTAGCCAAGGGGTGTGACCTAGCTTGGGTAAAGCCAGGTAGCCTTTTAGCCTAAAGGCACTGAGGGTGGTCACAGCCAGAGTTTTTTTGCGCCCTCAGTGGTTCTTTTACGTCCCCACTGGCCTTAGTATTACTGGAGACAGGACCGTCATTTTACGTGGTCATCCGAGCCACGGGAGATTCACAGTCTCCAATGTTGAGAGCCAGGTTTTTACACCTTGAGAAAATTCACTTCCCCGGCCGGGGTTTGAACTCACAGCCTTCTGTGGACAGTGTACGAGGAACAAAACACAACAGAGGGGATGAAGTGTGCTTGCATGGTGTGTGGAGCACATCGGTACCCTAAAAAGTCGAGGACTGATTAAGCGAAGCAGCACCTTTATTGACAGCTGTAACAGTTATAAGCGAGTATCAATATCCTATAGCCTATACCATGAGCTGTCTGAGGCACACGCATGTGCTTCTGATCATGTAAAGGCTGTACAGAATCCGAAAAAAGCCCCTGCTAACGTCGCGGTCGATCTTCTTCACACGCAGCATTCTGAGCTCAGAATTTTGTTCAGGAATGTCCATGCATTGGCCAAGAACCATTTAGGGACTTTCAGTGCAGGGTTCTCCCTACGTTGCACAAACGAGGCGCGCGCGCCCCGTTTGGGAAAACTCCCCCCTGTTTCAATCGTTGCGCTCCGTTTAAATTACCTCCGCCCCGATTAAATTCCACCACAATATAAGTTTGACCGCGCGGGAATCTATCGTCAAGAATTCCCATTCGACCACCGACGCGTGTATTTCGCATGGTACTGCAGACCATACACAAGTGCAAACAGGTGCAACCCACCGTCCCGAACCCAACACTAACTCTACACCGACTCGGCTATCTTATATATACAAGAACCCCAAATACCGTCTATGGTGTGGTGGCGATTTTACACATTAATTAGTGGTACGGTAAAAAAAACACGCCCCCCGGACCCCCCCCCCCCTAGTTTCCCCTCCCTATCCCCTTCCCCCCTACCCCCTGTTTAAATTTCATCCTGGGGAGAACCCTGCAGTGGTTGTGCGACTTGGATGAAAAAAAGGGCCACTCGATTGGCCCTTTTGTATTTTTGTAAATTTGTTGTGACGGGTACCGAGGTACCCTACTTATAATGTGATCAATGAATTAAATGTGTAGTTTAAATCAATGGTGTTTTTTGTGTTTTTCCAATATTGTTTGACATTATTTTTGTTTTAAAATTTGGGCGAGTACAGATTCCATTCGGGCGAGTTAACTTATTGACTCACTCGCCCAGTTTGGCGAGTGTTTTTTTTTTAAAGCTCTAACCCTGGTGTGTGTGTTTGTGTGCGTAAGTGCATGTGCATATGCGTATGTGTTATGATTATAAATAATACCGAAAGAAAAGATACAATTTGTTTTAGCATTGTCATGTCTTAATTATATGTTTGTCAATTACATCCTTATGATATAATAAAGCTGAAAAAATAGCGTGCTCTATATATGAAACATGCCACCACTTCTTTTGTATGCATGTTATACAGACTACTGGAATGCTCTCACAAATTATGTTATAAGTGTACCATTCACTCAAAGCACAGCTGGACATAGCTCTAGTACTATAGCCCGCGTACAGTTGCCGCAGGGCTATAGAACATTCTATTACGAATGCTCGGAACCAACTTACTCCAGCCAGTCAGTGGGAACTATGTATTTCCGCACGTGGAGGGGTGGCCGGGTTGTGTTGGTTGTGGACAAAAACATTGTTGTTGTCAAGTAACAAATTAATAATAGTAATTTGTTCATCTCTCATGACAATACTAATAATTATTACAATCTTTTTTGATTGCTTAATTTGTTACTTGACAACAACAAGGTTTTTGTCCACAACCAACACAACCCGCCCACCCCTCCACGTGTGGAAATACATAATTCCCGCTGACTGGCGCTGCTGCAGCGCCACCAAAAATGGCCGTTTGAAGTTCGTAAATAATGTGTGTTCACAAGAAATAGAACATTTCAACGATAGTTAGAGGTTAAATTTTAGTAGCTGATATAACTCATTGACATATTCACTTCAGATAAGAGGCATTAATTGCCTACCACTGACGTTTTATAGCCGCGAGTAACCGTGAATAAGTTGGTCCCGAGCAATCAGAATAGAATGTTCTATAGCCCTGCGGCAACTGTACGCGGGCTATAGTACTAGAGCTAAGCTGGACATAACTCTACCGGTGTCGGCCATTCGCTCCCACTACAGGGCTTATGTGCTCCAACTTATGTCAGGAAAATCCAAAAAAGATTGTTTACAACGTGGCTGGCAACGCTGTAGTTCGTGGCACATTAAAAAATCACCCTAGCCGAACTTGTATTCTTTAGCCGGCCAGCTAGAAATTCACATTTAAATCCCAATAACATGGCCAAATTTGCCCCAACGCAAATGATGGCACGACCGAAACACACAGTGACACACCCATATTTACCTCCGGCAAGGAGGTAATGTAATCGATCTCGTGTGTGTGTTCGTGTGTGTGTGTAGCCACTAGTGTTCGCGCGATCGATTCAGCAGCAGCTCGCCTTCGTGTGTGTGTGTAGCCACTAGTGTTCGCGCGATCGATTCAGCAGCAGCTCGCCTTAGGGCGTCTAGTCAGCAGCAGCTCGCCTTAGGGCATCGAGTCAGCAGCAGCTCGCCTTAGGGCGTCCAGTCAGCAGCAGCTCGCCTTAGGGCGTCGAGTCAGCAGCAGCTCGCCTTAGGGCGTCCAGTCAGCAGCAGCTGTTGTTTGATTGAGCAGTAAGATTGTTTATCAACTTGTAACCGCCATTTCTCGATGCGCAGCGCTCGCGCGGTTCCGGCTCTAGTGAGCGGGCACAATGTATTTCTAAGTGGAGAGGTGGGTAGGTTGCACACGATTTGCAACCACGTGCAACCTGCCCACCCCTCCACTTGAAAATACATTGTGCCCGCTCACTAGCGAAAAATGGTGGTTACAAGTTTACAAGTTACAATCTTCGTCGACAAGTAATATAGCAAGTACAACATTTAACCGTTAGTTTGCAGTTTCATTTTAGTGTTTGTAGTAACTTAAGACATTTGTCCGGCAGAGAATGTGTTTTATTTGGCATACCGAAGAAGTTATTATCGGCAAAAAGTTGTCTTTGCTTACTCAATGGAAATTGCGGCCCAAGGATAGAGAACATGGGTCCCAATAAAACCAATGTGACTAACCCTAACCCTAATTCTAACCCTAACCCTAACCTATTATATTGATATAATATTAATCATTATATTTATATTGATGTAAATGACATTGGTTTTATTGGGACCCATGTTCTCTATCCTTGAACCGAAATGGCCATATTACGTACGGTTCTATAGCCCTGCGGCAACTGTACGCGGGCTACAGTACTAGAGAGTAGAGCTAGTACTAGTAGTAGTAGTACTGTAGTCTGTAGACTAAAGGCCAAGACACACTACAGCGACAGCGACCGACCGTAACGACAAACGACAAAGTCGCAGCGACTGGCGCAGCCACACTGCAGCGACAACGACCGACCGTAACGACAAAGTTCACCCAGCACTCATGAGCAAACGGCAAAAAACTCCTGCTGCTGCTGCTTTTAAATAAATTGCTGTAAAAACGCTCTATGTATAACGAGAATATAATAAAGTAATA